GATTGAGCATTTTGAGTGGATACATTTGAATAACTAGGTTGAAATTAGTGAGGAAAGAGTTTTTTTTAATTGGGTGCAATGTGATTTTTAGGGTTTGGTTAGGTTATTTATTTGGAGGAAAATTAGGGTTTATGTATTGCACTTAGTTCTTCCTGGAATCATTATTGATGATTTTGAGGATTTTATCTGTGCGTAAATGAAAATTTATCCGTCATATCTTCAATGAGCATTCTCCTTCTCGGTTTAAAATTGAGATGAAGGTTTGCTCTTGTTTCTGATAGATAAGACATTTTTGTGTGGACTTATGTGTACTGAGATTGGTGAGGTCTTTGATCATTGCATTTGGCAAGGAAAGTCTGTTATTTCATATGAAGTTTAACACTGTTAATTGAAGTTCTCGAGTTAAAAGAGCTATTAAGGACCAGAAATTGCGTTTTGGTTGATATGTTGTGAAACCCTTGACATTAATGTAAAAAGATTTTATCTTGGCTAGCACAATGCGAGCGCAAATTCATTCAAAACTATAATTTCACACCTCTATTAGTATGTGCATCAGTGCAAAACTGTTTATGATATAATGATTATATATCTGTGTTTATGAGTTGCTTTATGATTTACCGGTTCTTAGTTTTGTAAGATACACATTATACACTATAACGTGATTGAATGTAACTTTTCTTTAGTTAGCTCTTTAAAAATGCATGTTGTTATGTTCATTGCACTTAACTATACTTGAAATTGTTTAAAAATGTGATTTCTGGGATGTTAATAGTGCGTATAATGAAAAATATCCTTTCTGCTTGAGCCATCTCTTTTTGGCAATGGAGATGTTCTCCAATGATATTGGATGATAATGTGATAGTGAACATCAGTAAAATAGCTGTTACTTGTCTGGAATTTCTGCCTTCTGATTGTATGTACTGTACTTTTATCATTGGTTATTTTGTTTCGGAAAACAATTCTGTCATTTTCTCCGCACTTAGTTATTCTTGGAATCCTAATTATGATTTCTGAGATGTTTTAGTGCGTATAAAAATCTATCCTTTCTGCTTGAGCCATCTCTTTGGGCAATGGACATGTGCTCCAATGTAAATGGATGACATTTTAGCTAGTGAACATCAGGAATATCATCTTTGCTTGTCAGTTGTTTCCCTCACTTATTCACTAGAGGGTCTTTATAGAACTAGTGGTTATGGCTGTTATGAAAATAAATAGATATTGAGATGAAATCCTTTCTGCTGGAGCCTTCTACTCTTTTGAGCATTGGGGTGTATTTATCTTTGTATACGTTATTTCAGTTCTTTTTTGGGGTATGACTTCATATGAATCAAATTGTCATTCTTTGTAGTATTGCTTATTAGCGTATCTTTATAAATATTGATTTATTATTTTCTCGCCCTAAGTTATTCTTGGATTTCTTTTGAATTATGGTTTCTGAGATGTTTTAGTGCGTAAATAAATTTATCCTTTCTGCTTGAGCCATCTCTTTGGTCAATGGACATGTGCTCCAATGTAACTGGATAACATTTTCACTAGTGAACATGCTATTGCTCATATACATAAATGTTAGGCGAATGTTGTAGGTTGGATTGGAAATTTTAATGCAAAAACCATTTATGTATATAACTTGTTGTAATTTCATGATATTTGCTACTTTTATATGTTGATCTGTCTAGTATTGGTAAACTTATATTGATGTAACCTGTGATATGTGACTCCTTACAAGCATAATTTAACAGATCTTCCTATATGTTTGGGGGGGGGGGTTGTTTTCTTGCTGTGAGGATAATTTTTATTATGTGGTCTGTTGCCCTACTTAAGGTGTGTTTGACTTAAAGCTGATTCATTTCAGGACAAAACATAAGGAAGCTAATCAAAGATGGATTTATCATCAAAAAGCCATCAAACATCCATTCCCGTTCCCGTGCCCGCCGAATGCTAGTAGCAAAGAGAAAAGGGCGTCACTCTGGCTATGGTATGTGTCGATACAGTACATGGCTACCATGTTGATTCTTATATGTGTTCCATCTTATTAATTCCATTTATTAATATTTTGCACAGTAGTTTTCTGGCTTTCTACAGCTGCAAAGCATTTCTGTAAAATGCTTTCCATAAATATGTAACATGCACTAATTGCCCACCTTGGTTATTATTGGTCTTCTTTGACAGTTATGCTATTCTTATTATAGGTAAACGTAAGGGTACCAGGGAGGCAAGGTTGCCTACAAAAATCCTTTGGATGAGGAGAATGCGTGTACTAAGGCGTCTGCTCCGCAAATACAGGGAGTCCAAGAAAATTGACAAGCACATGTATCACGACATGTACATGAAGGTCAAGGGCAACGTCTTTAAAAACAAACGTGTGCTGATGGAGAACATCCACAAGTCAAAGGCTGAAAAGGCAAGAGAAAAGAATCTCTCTGATCAGTTTGAGGCTAGGCGTGCGAAGAACAAGGCTAGCAGGGAGAGAAAGATTGCAAGGAGGGATGAACGTCTTGCATTGGTGAGTCCTTTCACTTGAAACTAACTTGATTTCCCCAACTCAATGTTATTGGCCTTTCTATTATTTTAGTGAGGTGGGGAGAGCATGGAAATGTCCCCTAATATGATATAGGTTTGCTTTGTGAAATCTATTTTGAGGGGGTTATGAGTCATATGACTATGTGATTATCGTTGGGCAAAATTTTGGGATTTTAACTTGTGATGACTAACATTCAAGATCCTTTAAATCATGAAACTTACAAATATAGCATGTTGATCTAGCATCTAGGTTATGAACTTATGATTAGCTTCTGAATTTCAGAAAATGTGGAGGAAAATATTCTCCCATGGGGTTATGGTAGTTGGACAAGTTGTACGGACTTATGGGAGGTGTAGATAGACAGAGTTAGTAGGGGGGTTCATCAACCTAGGTTAAACGTGCGATTAGGAAAAGTGCATACTACTATGTGTGTATATGGCCCATCTCAAAATCTTTTCCCTTGGGTCATCACGGTATTGTCACCTTGTCTAGCCGGTGGTCATCCTCATTTACCTTGCACCTCAGCAATGTTGTACTTAATTTAATGCACTGATATGAATTGTATTTTATCATTCGTTGCAATTTTTTACTATGTTGTTTCATCTTCTGAAAGTTAAATTTGATGTTTTATGCAGGGGCCTGTAGAGAAAGCTCCAGCACCAACACCAGCAGCTGCTCCTAAGCCAGCAGAGTATGTTTTCCCCTTGTACCTGTGATTAATATAGCCTTTGATTTTTTAAATTCATGTCAATTATTAATTTTTGCAAATGATCACTGTGCAGGCCAATTAAAAAATCCAAGAAGTGAAGCAGATATTGAAGTAGGTTCTTAAAATTCTGTTTTTATTGGAGCAATTGTGAAAAGACTTGATTAATTTGGATCACAAATTTTGGCCTCTGAAGAAAGTTTTCCGCTTTTTTTCATTTTATTTATTGCAAGACAAACTATTATGTTTGCAATGGTTGATGTAGTTGCCAAAGACACGAACTACTGCACAGTTTTGGTAAATTTGATAATCAATTGGAATTTTTGTAATGTGCTATGAGCTACATGAGTGTTGGTTACATAATGCATTCTATTGGCGTTTCTTTTTCTAGCTGTGCTGGTAAATCACTAATTGACCAGCTTGTTTTCGATAAGGATTTGTGTTTTTGTTGTCTGGTCAGGCTTGATGACAATTGGTAGGTGTAGCCCTGAGGCAGTGTCTATGGTGTTCTTACGTGCTGATAGTATACTGTTTTGTGTGGCAGAAGAGTTGCATTTTTCATTTCAATTGAGTTTGAAAATTCCTGGACATCTATGAATGATTGAAGTGATAAGCATGTTTATTACGGAGTATTTATACAAGTCATACTTATTATAGAGCGATGAAAGATTTCAGGTTATTAAAACATTTGGTTGTATATTGAAGTAATTAATTTATACAACTGTACAAGTGAAGGGAACGATGAATCTGTGAGTCCCGCATTAATAAAATTTGGATGTGGTTTTGGTTTAGTTATGTTTTTGTAAAGTGGTGGCAAAAATTTCGGGAGTTAAAAGTTGCAACTTACATAATGTACGAATTGCTGTTTTAGCTGACTCTAACAACCCTGAATAGGCCCTGGGCTGTTATTTTTAATCGCAACATTTGGGGATCTTATTAGATTACAAAATAATTTGATCACAAAATAAAATTTAAGTTAAAAATGTATATTAGCAAAGGTGAAAAAGAAGAGGTGATATAAATATATAATCCTAATTGTTATCTACTTGTCTTTATTAAGACAAGGCAGACTCGTAATTTTTAGGGGTGTAAATGAACCAAGCCGATCAATAAACTAATCGGGTACGAGCTCGGTGAGCTCATTTATGTTCGTTTATTTAATAAAATGAGCTGAATTTGAACAAATTTTGAAGCTCGTTTAATAAATGAGCTTGGACGCGAACATAGATAAGCTCGTTCAAATATGTTCATAGATAAGCTCGTTCAAATATGTTCATGAACAACTCGTTTATTTTTTTTTACGAACTACTGGTTTATTTATGTTCATGAATTATTGATTTATTCACATTTGTTGATTTAATTCTTAAGTTTATACGGTGTGATTAAGATTTAATTATTATGTTACTTTTGATATTTTCAATTGTCAAAAGTACGAAGCTCGTTTATTATAAAAGCTCATTTATTATTAAGCTCGTTAATGAATCACTCATTTATCAACTCGTTTAATAAACGAGCTGTTCATGAACATACATTGTACTAAATGAGCTGAGCTTGAACATATTTTTGAACTCGCTTGAAAGCTCGGGATCGTGCTCGAACTCGCCTGAGTTAAATGAATTGAACATGAACAAGATAGTACTCGGCTCGGCTCATTTACACCCCTAGTAATTTTCAATCTATATAATAATCAACATTTGTTGTTATGATTAGAAATAGCTTATCATCAATATCTTAAAATGCAAAAATAATACTTGATCGTTTTCTTATAATAGACAACAAAGTTATTAAATCACAACTTTTCAAACTCAACTTCAACAGTTCGGTTCGTAACAGCCCAACTCAGCAGCAGCAAATCTGCAGATGTTATCATCAGAGATAGTAGCGGAGCCCACATCAAGGCAACTATGTTCAACCTCAACAACGCCAAATTATTTATAGCGGAAGGTATGGCTCTTCATAAAGGAGTCCAACTATCTTTTCAATGTGGCATTCAAGACAATGAAATTGGAGGTGATAATATATTAGTCATCAACTCAATAAAAGGAATTCAGGCAATATCTTTTTTTTTAAAAAAAATAAAAAAAATCACAACCTCGTTCTGTAAATAAACTGAGCATATTTGGGCTTGGATTGAAAGATGAGCAATTGAATAACAAAACTTTTGACAGCCCAAAGTTAGGTATTGTAGTTACAGCTTAGCCTTACGCGCCTTATCTTTCTTCCCTACCCAATTTCTCTCTCTTCCTCTGCCTTCAAAAAAACTCAACAACAATAACAAAAACCTTCAAATATTTCACAAATTCAAATAAAATGAGCATAAATAATACACTCAATCCAACAATCAAAACTATTTCAATCTTCTCCCCCAAAACATCATCCAACCTTCAACAATTACCATTTCCAATCACATTTACTTCCAAACCACCCACTAATTATTCACAACTTTCTCTCTCCTCAATCTCTCTCACAAGGAGGACCTTTCTTCCTTCAGTTTCAGGCATTTGGGATGCTCTGACCGGAGGCTCCAACAATAATCCCCGCGAAGCTGCTCTTGCCATTCGCCGCGGTATGCAGCTGTTTAGACAGGTAATTTATTTTTTTTACGCGAACAAAGTTGTCCCACATTGAAAAAAAAAAGAATAATTTCCGGCAATGGCAAAGTTGTCCCGTATTGAAGAAAGATAATTGTTGTGACATGGTTGATTTAGTTTGTTGATTTACATAAACTCTAGGAAGGTAGTAGAATGGTGAGATAATACTCTCTCCATTCTACATTAATTAATTAACATTAGATGTTTCTAATGTATTGATTACTATAGGATGGAGAGAGTGTTATAATTCTGCTCCTTTTTAGATTTTCTCTTGATATAATTCATCTTAATAAATTTATTTATCTATTTGAAGAAGTTTTTTTTATTTATTATTGTTTTTACTATTATTTTAATTTATGAAGGGTGATGTAATGGGGTCTGTTGTGGAGTTTGATAAAACAATTGAGCTTGATCCTCGTCAAAAGGCATGTATGTTTTATAATTTAAGAAAGGAAAACGGTTAGTTTGTAACGAGTTATAAATAAAACGTTCATTAATTATTTGGCGATGTGGGTGTATTTCAGATCTTTGGCAAAGAGGATTGTCTCTTTACTATCTAGACAGGTATTATCTGCTTACATAAATCCTTATTTTTCCTGGAAAAATATGCTTCTAATGTAATCAACTAATTACTCAATATGAATATATGATAGCTAAATAATGATGAACAATGTCTGTTAGCCATAAGCTTTGCAGTTGTAGAGCATATATACGAAGTATATCGATAACACCAAATAGTTGATGCAATCCTCTTTCAAACACTTGACTTTTAGAGACAAAATGTGGCAATTTTGAACATTTGGTGTTTGAAAAGTACATGAAACTGTCTTTTTCTTGGAGTAATTTTGAGAGAAATTAAATGCTTTTGATAGATTTGAAGAAGGCGCGGAGCAATTCAGGTTGGATGTAGCTCAGAACCCAAATGATACAGAGGAGTCAATTTGGTGCTTCCTTTGTGAAGCTCGACTTTATGGGGTTGATGAAGCTAGGAAACGATACCTTGAGGTTAGTTTGTTAAAACTTCAGCACTGAATTCTTGCAATTGAATGCTTAAATGTCTATGAACACTGGTGTTACAGATTACCACCAGTTCTGTTTTCTGTGTCTGATTAACCATGACTGATTTCAACCATTTTCTTAGGTTGGTAGAGATCCAAGACCGGTGATGCGCCAAGTCTACGACATGTTCAAAGATGGTGGTGATCCTCAGAAGGTACTAGTTACAAATATAATTGATTCAGTTTTTCTATCCTTTTGTTTTCCTAGAAGATTAACTTGACTGATAACCAACTGTCATAACTGGAATAAAATGGTTTTTGTAATTTCTTCTAGCTAATTTGTTTATAGACATTGCAGTATGGCTTGCTAAGAATTCTTGTATGTGGGAGTGGGACAAAATGCCCCTTTGCATTACATGAAACTAGAAAGAAACTATTACTCTTTGCATTCCAAAATTTGCGCTTTTGTTAAATGATTTTATCTAAAGTTAATCAGAAATCTGTTTCTTCTGTATTCTGTCAATAAATCCTGTACATATCTGCTTAATTCTGAATCAAATTTCCAAAGAGCTTTAATTCTGGAGCAATTCTTAGAGATTATTTGGTGGGGTGGGGTGGGGGTTTGGAGGGTATGTGATCTGCTCATGCTCCAGTATGTATTAATGAATATACTCTAATCTACGATTTCTTTCTTTGTAGCTGGTTGATACATTCTCAAACAGTCGAGATGGAGAATATTTTTATGCATCTCTGTATGCTGGCCTCTATCATGAAGCAATGGTATTGACTATTGAATCCCTTTATTCTCATGTGGAGTACTATTTCTTTAGATTATAAAATTGTTACAGACTAACCTCTACCAGCTTCAGAAAAACATGATGTGAAAATTTCATGTTGTCAATGCATATTCAAGTGTAATTAATTACGATGCTTGTATAAGTTGTATCCCTTAGTCCACGACAGCCTCAACTGGGTTTCTGATTGTGCAGGGTCAAGAAGATGCAGCTAAGAAATATATGGTTGCTGCTTGCCAATCCCCTTATGCACAAAGGTCTATCACCATAATCCATACCTATAAATTTACAGACTGCTTTTGTTATAATAATCTAAATTTCTTGCCAAAATCTTCATTTCAGGTCTGATGATTACATGGCTTCTTTAGCCAAGGTCCATTGTATCTGTAGAAACTGGAGCTTAAATCCAACTTCAACTTGAGACCAACATTTGGCCTAAGCTTATTATCATATTCAAATCCACCTTAGATCTGTGTTTCGACATGAAAGACGATGTAATTGCCTTGAGTAATATATGAAGAGATCTTGGCATAGCAGTCAAGACATTTTTACTTGCAATTGTTGAATATGCAAGGAGTTTGGTCATGAATTACCAAAATTTTGGCAATTCCAATTTTAATTAATTACGATCCCCGAATACATTTATGTAGATAATGTGGATGGCTACTTTGTTTTTGAAAAACTTCGTTGTAAAAGATCAGCTATAATTACAAATTTACAGTATCCTCCCACCTCGATCAGTTGTCAAAAAAGGAACCAAGTTAACGTTGCTAATTTCATCCCATATCAATTTATTATATTATTAAACATTAAAACTTAAAATTGTAGAGCTTTACCCTCGTAAGAGGGAGCCCTTCCAGAAATTCTCGACGGCCTAGGTCAAGCCCAGGCCGAAGAGGGGGTTTGGAAATAGTTTTCAACCAGCAATTGACGCGCCTCGGTTATTACCTCACTAGCTGCGTCATTGCCCCAAGCGCAAAGATAATTTCTATTGAGTTCAAAGTTTGTTTTTATATCCCTTCTTTGCTTGCAGTCTATATTCATCTGTCGATGTGGGATACTTTCTGGTGTATATCATGCGCAATAATGAACATCCTCTCTTGAGTCTTTTCACGATTTACGGCCCATTAAAGCAATTGTTGTAGGTTGTTATGACTTATGACATTATGAGTATTGTTTAATTTATATTGAAGGTTGGTAATCAAATTAAATACTGTATAAACATACTTAGAGCAACTCCAATTGTTGTAGCTAGGGACTTGCTTGCAATTTTTAGGAGATTAATATATTAAATAATAAAATTTATTTGAGAAAGTCAAACTTATTTAATTAGCTAGCCAACCATTAAGATACAAATTAGCTAAAATGAAAGATAACTTAAAATTATACGTGGCATGACAAGCTAATTTTACAATTAGCTTACCATTAGTATGCTCTTATCATTCATATTAAGTTTTTTTTTTTTTTTTTTTTTTTTTTTTTGCGGATTAGATACTTTAAAAGTGAGACGAAAAGGATAAGAGATCATCATCCTCAAAGTGTCTATAGTAAAGATGGACCCCCCTAATTTTAAAGTTAGAATGTACAATTTTGATATGTTTTAAGTTTTTTTTCATCCCGGCTTTGTTCTCTATGTCTATTTGATATGTTTTTTTTTTTTTTTTTTTTTTTTACTGTGATCTAGTATAAAAATAAAACCAAAAAAAGTAAATAATACAAGTAAGAGCTAGGTGAATAGATCGAGAACAAATTGAATTTTTTCATCTTTACATTTATAACTAATGATTTTACGTCATCCGGGAATATAATTTATTGTAGACTTATTTCACTACTGATAGATGAAAGCTACAACATAACATGAACTATGGGAACTATACCCCAATTTTTAAATAAGATAGGATGAGCCACTCACAATAATATTGTTATTGATTAATGAATTATAGGTACATTGTGGGACATCAATCATAGGCCATATCAGCATATTCGTGGTTGATCAAGCATAACATACTTGGATATTCTTAAACGCGATCCCAAAGTTCCCTCGTTGGCATATGCCTGTATTATATGCTATGCCCGCCAAGGCGGCAACATCACTGCTACGCGCCTACATACAAGTTACAAACTTGTCAAATTTGGCACCACAAGCACGTAAGACCGTAGGCCTTAGGTTAAATCGGGTTGATCCATACGGCGTTTCCGTTTGATAGAAGACTTTTTTCTTACTCGCCACATAGAAGCTTCTAAAATCTTTTTATTTAGTTCATCTGAATCTTTCTCGGCTCTTAATTTAAAATATAACTATTAGTATTTTTTTTTAATTTAATTCATATAATGTATTAAACCACATTATTATGTTTTGCGGCCTATTTGAAAGTTGAAATAAAATGATAAAAAAAGGAGTTGCCGTAATTTGATAAGGAAATTCGTTTGTTTACGGCAATGATGGTATATGATTCTAGTTATCGAGTACTAAATCAAATATAAACTTATTTTGCTTAATAACCAAGGTTATGAAGTATAACGACTATAAACAAGTAAAAAAACATCCGAAGTGACTTATTCATAATAAATGTGACTAGTACTCAAGGCAGCGATCCAATTATATTAATCCAATGTCTCTTAATTCCACTCTTCTATATAAGACAACATACTTACATTTTTATATAAATATAATGTACATAGTATATAAAAACTTATAAAATAAAATAGGATCCGTATCTATATAATTTTTTGTGAAAAAGAATCCGAATCCGTATCTATATAATTTTTTTGTGAGACAAATTTGATCAAAATAGGATCATTATTGTGGTGTATTGTATTAATTTGTCCCATTTTGTGATTACAAACTTCATCTTGCATTTGTGTCAATCCATAAAAGAAACCAACAGAAAACACTTTGGCTAAACACCGAAAATGATTAAATTGAATGAGAAAAAGTCGAAATAATAACAAGTTTAACAACTACTTGTTGTCTTAAAAGAATATTCCACACAAATCATCCCAAAATTCTTTCGTAAATTCCAAAATACCATCCCAAAAATCCAAACAAAATCACACGAAATTACACGTGGCAACTAATGACACCCACCTTAAAAAAAACAAGTATATTTCTCCGCAATATGGCGCACAACAAATCCTCCTCTTCTTCCCCCTCCATTTTTTTTCTCCTCCACATTATATTATACAAAAGCGACACTACAAAATTATTCAAATTCTTCATAATTTATAGTAATTGTTTGATTGTTACATTGATTACATATGTCGTCGTCGGCAACGGAGAAGTTGCTCGGCGACAATGAGCGGGTGCACTACACACCAATGCCGTCGTCGGTTAAAACAACTTTATTACGGCAAGGCTCCGATATTACGGCGGCGATGAATTCTCCGATTTTCGAGGAACTTCCTAAGGCGACGATATTGTCGGTATCAAGGCCTGATGTTAGTGATATTACTTCTCTGCTTCTTTCTTATACTTACACCATTGAAGTCCAGTACAAGCAGGTTCACTTTCTCTCTCCTCTAGTTTTCTCGTAAGAAAATGTTGTACCAAAATCGATGATGTTGAATTATTTAATTTTTGTATTTTTTGTTATAAATTTGTTTGTTGTTCTGTAATTTTGTGTGATTGTAATAATTCTTTTTGTTTTATTTATTGAAATGGTTGGAATAATTTGCAAAACTTTATTTTTTAGGTTTAATTTTAATGTCGTTTAGTATCTTGGAAGTATATATTAATAATTAATTACCTAATAAATATTCTTGTGTAGTACTAGTAGTAGGTAATTGATGCTTTGCTTATAATATTAGTAGCAGATTGCCAGATTGTAAGTTTAAGCTCCTTAATTAGGTAGATTTTTGATGTCTTGGTTATTATATTATTTAAGATTAAGCTTAGTTGGTAGATTATGTCTCATATTACTCACAACATTTTGAGTGGACGCGATTGCAAACATAATTTTGACTATCGATATGTTTTTTATAATCTGTTACATACGATGTTTGCAAATGGTCCATTCGATATCTTTACATATTAACTTTTGTTTCCATATAATATAACATTATATAAAAAGTTAATATAGTATTTTGAATATATACATTCAGATAAAGCCAACCATATCTTACATACTACAATAACTTTGTTTTCATGTAATATAAGTAGTAAAAAAAATGGTCAAAGTGTTATGAGTAATACAGGACTATGGAGTATGATTGTTTGAAGTTTTCTACTTGCTTGTTGATTGTGTCACTGGCAAACTAAGAATTAGAGGCATGTAAATATATTATTGTGGTCACGACTGAAATTAAATAATGGTGCTAGATTATGTTGCCGGATTCATTATCTTTGTGCAGTCGTTAGTCCTTACTCCGTAAAGTAAAGTCTTTGGTGATAAGAATTTGTTGTGGGCATATGACATGTATATTTATCAGGATACGATTCTCTTCATTATTCTTGAATGTTGAATGCTACATAGACGGCCTTGTGATTTCTTTTTGAAGCCATGTTTGCTTTAGTTACACGCGAGTATGTATCCAAGTGCAAGACTCGACCATGTTATGAAAAGTTAGCATGTTTAGGTCTAAAGCGAAGTGTACTCTTTTAGAGTGTGAATTTCCAATAAGCATAGTTTTATGTGAGGTAAAGTCACTAAAATGTGTATTTTTGTGATAATTTTGCATGCTGAGTGTTCAGTATCTCATATCGTGTATGTACTTGAGTTAAAATGAAGAAAGTTCCAGTGTTGGACAGGAACAGTCAGATGTTATAAGGAGAATTAGGACTAGTTGGCCAATTTTCAAGTGCACTTGCAGTATTGGACAAACTTAGCTGACTCCGTATAAGACGAAGCATACATGAGAAGGTTATTTGTCCATCTGCTCTTGCTAAAACGCAATGATAGAAAAGTCATGCATGGCGCATCCTGATTCTCTTGTGCAATGGTTTTTTCCATGATATGTTCTGGTCAATTTTACAGTTTCTGAAACTCTAATTGTGCTCATTATTCTGAGCAAGTTTTTGATCGATATGTATTTGATTTATGTGGAAGACATTCTTCTAGAGTAAAGTGTGCAATTTTCAGTTTCTTTGTACCAATTTACTATAGAATTCATCAGACTTTTTATTTGAACAGTTCAGGTGGCTGCTACAAAAGAAAGCTACACAAGTTCTCTCCTTGCACATTTCTTTGAAGAAACGAGCAATCTTTGAGGAATTTCATGAGAAGCAAGGGCAGGTATGTATTTAATATCTTTTAATCATTTTGTTTTCTACCTTTAAGTTAAAAACTATGAACTTTATTTTGTGCCTACTAAGTCATTCTGTTGTCATTGAGCTCTACTATGATTAGTCATGTAGGATTAGGGACCAATAAATTAACGACTGTACTTTATGCTTTTATGAAGCTCTGATATCTTTGTAATTTATGCACGTTGCAAAGGTGAAAGAATGGCTTCATAATCTAGGAATATTAGATCATGCAGCAGTAATGCATGATGACGATGATTTTGATGATGATGTAGTTCGTGGTCACCAGGATAGTAGTTCACGTTATCAGTGAGTGGCTCTTCGTATCTTGTTTTTCTTTACAGCTTCAGATTTGAGGATTTCTTGGACTCTGTAACCTGTATTTAAACATGGTTCTCATGCAGCAACATTCCCTCTAGAGCTGCTTTTTCCATCATTAATCCATCTGTTGGAAGGCAAGAGTTCGTTGCAGACAAAGCAAAGGTCGCAATGCAGGGATATTTGAATCATTTTTTAGGCAACTTGGAAATTGTAAATTCTCGACCGGTGAGTTGAGTATTAACTGGAACTTTGTACAGCTGAGAATGAGAAAGCATTTTCTCCCCTAAAATCTAAGCATTTCCATTCTTATTTCATTAGTGGCATATTTTTTTAATAGTTGGAGACTTGGAGTCAATAACCCTTCACTTATATGTGATTATATGT